TGGTGAGATAATGAAAGGCCTTCTAGGAAAGTTTGATTGGGAAATATTCCTATATCTAATTTACAGCCCAGTAAAAGAAATTCAATTTTGTCCTCATACAGTATTAACTCTGTTATTATATTTATTCACTGATCACAGGACATTTTCTTCTGTTTTCAGATGAAGGAAGGGGGGGAAAAGAGGAAAAAATGATCCAGGAGATGATACAAGCTATGATGTTGGCCAAGAACATGGTTTCCTTCGCACTCATGTTTGTATCACCGATCATACAGATCAAGGGATTTGGACTGTCAGTTGTCAACACATTGATCAACATTGGTAGATTTTTGGTCCAGCTGCAAGCTACCCATCAGATGAAGCAAATGCATACAGCACACTTGAAGGTTCGTTATGTTTAAGTAGCAAATATTTTCTGGTCAAATAAGACATTAGGTAATAAGTGAATTTGAAAAAACCAGGAGTTTTTGGTTATGTTACAACATAGTGTTTAGAAACCTATATGCTGTATATAAATTTATCTAGGAAAAATGATTAGGCTGTTTAGCAAAAGACACACACTATTTCACTCCAGTATGCAAGGAGGTTCAAAAAAAGCCTAGGTTCAAAAAATATCTCTGTGATTTACAGCTACTGGGTACCCAAGTTTTAATGGATATTATGAAAAACTATGTAATTATAATAATCACTGATCCTTAGAGTATTATTATTATTATTATTATTATTATTATTATTATCTTTAGCTGTATTACTACCATAAGATACATATTCTTGTATTAGATATTCTGCATTTGTTTGCCCATCGCCCCATTATTTGGGCAGTTAGGATTAAGGCTGTTATAAAATTCATTTAATGTTACGAGGGAATTTTTGTCCATGAAACATGTTTGGTTGGCATCCCTGCATTTGGTTTTGATGCCATTTCATAAATCATTGGCATGAGAAATCCAAGAGCAGTGAGATAATCATTCAAATAAGCATCCCCAGTGTAAATATAAATCAGACACTCTATAGTTTTGGAAGCGCTTTAGAGGAGGTGATATTGGCTTAGTTACCTGGATTGATCTCAGTTGTAAAAGATTTTAACTTTGATGTACTGTACTAAGAGTGGCCAAAATATAGCTGAAATTAATGTTTGTTTTATGACTGTTGTCTAGACAGAGTGAATACTGCAAAATTGGTCTTGCTTTCGGGGCAGAGTTGTACTTTGTATGAATAGTGATCTCAGTGATCTCACCTCCAAACAGATTGATTTTGAAACTAATTGTTGAAAATCGTTTACAATACATTTGTGGTGGGGTATTTATCTCAGTGTGGACACTCATCGAAGAAATACATAAACTTAGCAGGTCTCACTTAAGGTTTGTTTATCAATGTATGCTGCATTGCTATGTTTCAGGTTCACTACAACAATGCACATCAGACGCATGACTCAGATGATCTTTGGTCATCCGGTTCCAGCAACCACTACGCGTACTACGCACCACCCCCTAGACACGACAATGCAGCTGCAGCTGTAGCGTCATCTCATACTGGCTACAACCCACCCAGCCAACAACATAACAATCACTATTCTTATCATTCGTCACAAATTAGATAACGTGACAATATAATGTTTTATAAAACATTCACCATTTGATCAACCAAAGGATATGGCTAGTGTAATGAACTTTACAAACCAAATTCAGACAGGTTAAATTAGTGTATTTTGTTGGCTGATTCTATAAACTTGAAACTTGTTTTGTATTTGCTGATTTATTTGTATTCGTTGAGTCATTAGATAAAAACATGTCTAAAAGTTACAGAAAATGTATTTAAGTAGGAGAAAAAGTGTTCATTTATTTTGAACTGCTGAATCTAATCCATACTGAGTAATAGGAAAATACTATTTGCTCAAGCTAGTTTAGAAATCTGCAGTAAAGTATTATTTAAAAGTGTAATATATATTGTATACTTGTATATTGTATTATGTATTTATTGTATAACTTGTAATTTAAAAAAATAAATGTATTATGGAAATCAAGTATAGCTATACATAACTTTTTCTAAAATCACGGTACAACAGGAGTTCTGATAGCTCAGAATTTATAATATTCTGAAACAAAGTTACACAGTCAGTACTAAGAGGACTATGTTCAATTTACTGATCGCTCAGAATTATGATGTTCGTTGGTTATTCAATAGTTTGAAAATGTTGGAACTTGGATTTTTAGTCAATATCGTGGAACTCTATTCTAGGAGTTCTGACCATTTGGAATTATATTTACTCCAAATTAAATTTACTTGGACAGAAAATTGATTGGGATCAAGGGATGATCCCTTTGGCGCTCAGCCCAGTGCTCCCCCCACTCCTCATTGGCAGAATCTGCTACCGCCCATGCATCCCCATAATGTTGTTCAAAGGTTTATTGCGGACATTTTCCATCACGATGGTAAAAAACAATTAATACACAACGTTTAGGGATCTGGAATCTGATCCCGTCCTCAGGTGAAAAAACTTAACTAACACATTACAACTAACAATACACAAACCAAAAACCAACATCACCAACAATGAGTTTCAAACAAAGAATCCCCATAGTGAAACAAGCGCATCACTTTGGCTGTTGACCTTAGTGATGTTTAATTTGTGTGAAATAATTGCACCACTATATGAACGAATATTTTGATAATGTTTGATCTACAAACGAATGAAAAAGTGTGCTAATATAAATATAAATCATAACATAGTCAAAACTAAACATTTTTAACAATCCAGCAACTGCTGATACATAATAAATATTAAAATAAAGTTAAGAACAAAGGCATCTCAGCTGTGGCTAAGTAGATGCCACATCAGCTCCCCGCAGAGACTGGAAGTCCAGGAAGATTGAGCTTTACATTTCGACCAGACCGAGTTGTATAGGTTCTGAATAATGATGCCGGGTTTGGAGGTTTTTAGGGATGTGTTTGAAGGTTGTATATTTTGAGGCTCTTTGTCTTTGATTGTTGGCTGATAACATTTGTCAGGTAACACAATACACAGCTTGGACAGGTCTGATTGAAGACATGTGTTGACGGAGTCATACAGCATAATCAGGATCATCATGCCTGGATTTGTCAACAGGGGACTTTTTTTCTAGAAAGACCAAATATACCAAAAGCTCAGTGACCTTTTTATTGTATAATGGTCATAAAAGTAAATTAGTTTATAGCAAAACATAGCTATAAAAATAATATTAACTATTTTTAATATTCATATAAACGTCCGTTATGGTCGTGACAGGATTTTGTGTTTTTCCACTAAAGATGCTCTTTTAAAAAGAAACTACCAAAGATATTGCGTTACCATGGACATTTTATGAAACTTCAAATGTTAATGAAATAAAAAAAATAATAAAAGTTTTGAAAAAAGGGGAAAAAAATTTGCAAAGTGCTTTTCCTGAAAACGTACGTTTTTAAATTTTCACTCATCAATACTAATTAACAATACCCCCGCCGCAGCAAACCTGCCGACTAAGCGAATTTCCATTTGTCTGAATTGATTTTCAATCAAATATATTTTAATAACATTAGGTTTAACGAGTACCTAGGTTTGCTGCTACAAGGAAACTAATAAAGTGTGTTTTTGAGTAAATATTGATAGCTTAGTACAAAATAAATAAATTTGCCAAGTTTGATCAAAATATATCCATCAACAAGCAAACTACAACATTTGACAATATTCTCTATAAGAATAACATGGGAATTTTAAATTTACAATTTTTGTAATTTTCTCCGTTACTAATAATCGAACAAAAATATTTTTATATACTAAATTATTTGTTTTTTTAAGCTCTTTAAAAAGGTCTAAAGAGAAATCGGGAAATTTTGTGTTTTGAGGGTCAAAAGTGAAAAAAAAAAACAATTTTTACCCCATAAAACCCCCCGTAAAGCCCCGTTCCCATGGTCCGATCGTGCTGGTTCGCTTTATCCCGCGTAAGTTTATCCCACTTTACACCTTTAAACCAAATTTAATCAAAATCGGACAAAAATTACTCAAGTTATCGCGTTCACGGACGTATATATATATATATATATATATATATAAGTATATATATATATACATATATAAAAATTTGAACGAATGGTGTTTTTGGCCTCTGGGGACATCAAAATGAAAAAGTAAATTGGTCCCGGGTCTAGGTCTTACCGTGCCACCTACGGTAATAGCTACTTCCCTATAGGGAAATTCGCTAAAACTTACCAAATTCTAATAAAAACCACAGAATCGTCAAATAAATTAGTGCACAACGAGGCTGGTTATAATAAGCCTGCTTTCGAGCAAATAAGATAAAAAAAGTATCACTACAGACCAACAGACAGATTTACTTATTGGATTCGATTGAGTGAGACCATTGAGATAAATAAAATATAGAAATAGATTGAGTCATTGAGTGAGACTGAAGCAGAGACGAGAGTGAGAGATATAGACAGACAAACAGACAGACTACTACTATCTGACATACATGGACACTATTACCCAAGAAGATCAAGAACCGAAGAACCTCGAACTTGAACCAGAAATTAAGAAACTCAGGAAGAAATAGACCATTTTATTTAAACTTACAAGTACAAGTGCAATTTCTTAAATTCTCGGTTTGTGTGCATTGAAGTGATATCTTTTTATGGCAGAGGCATACATTTTCCATTAACGAATAGTTGTTTTCATAACCTAGGCCCATGAATTGTGTATCTTCAGCATCCTTAAAAATTGCCCGATTGACTTTTATCGTATGATATTTGGACAAAATGCCTAAATCGAGGTTAGTACACATTTTTACAATTGTTACTATTTACAACAAAACTTAAATATTTAACCCTATCGTTTTTTGTTTTCACTACATTCAAAGAAAAGGGTACAAGGGTAGGTACAATTTAGAGTGACTTTCTCTGTTTAGGAAGAATTGAGGTCACATAATATTTGATTGTTTTTGGTAGCCTACAGGCTAGGTCATCAAAGGGTAGCCTCAATAGAACAGAGTTCTTATTGACAGACAGTGGGTAAGTTACTAACTTATATAGACTCCTTTTGGGGAACATAGGCCTAGGCTACTTGTTTGTTTTACCTCGAGATAGGCGTACCCTACTACCTAGTCTACATAGCCTGAAAGGCATCAGTCTTATTGCCTCATTGTTAATTGCTGATCTATTGCCAGTCTCAAGTCGATCACCGTTAATGTGGTGGCAATAGCCTAGTTTAATTTGTAAGATATGTACCAAAAAGTGTCAAAGGTTGAATAAGTTATTGTCCTCAGCCTATTAAGATCATCTAGCTATCGGCGACACAGCTGTAGGTTACCTAATTAATAGAACCCCAACGATTAATAATTTAATTATTTAGTTGCCTTCTTAGGCCTACAGTATGGTAAACTTACTTTTCATGTTGAAACGAAAATATAATCCGATCGTTTATAACAGTAAAAGTTTTAAGTCCTTAAGTTAAGAAGGAAATCAAATTGTAGGTTAGGCTACATCAGTCATGAAATTGCTCCAACAACTTGGGTTTTAACATCAGGCTAGGAATAGCTTTAAGTTATGAAAGGCTAGGGAATGATGAGCAAAATAAGATTCATTTAGTAGTAGGCCTAAGTTAAATTTAAAGGCATTTAACAGAATGCAAAGATTACCCAATGTCAGTGACACAGTAGCCTATTCTGCATTTTCCAAGAATCCTTTTTATTTTAATCATATAGGCTAGGTTAGTCAGTTTTTGGACAGTGGTGAGCATTCCTATAGGCTACACTGGAAAATTTACGACTATCCAAGTCCTACACCACGTGATTCTATAATGGCTTAAGGGTGCGTCAAAACATACCTTTACAGATTCACCAATCCTCATTATCGACCTGGGATAAAAATAGGGGAGGAGCTTCCAGCTGCACTGGTCCCTTCTATTGAACCATTGAATTACAGCGTTTGCCTCCAAAAAACTAGTTTGTTCCAGATTTAGAAAATTGGAACAAGAAACTGAAAGAGAGGTGTCGTCATCGAACAGTGATAGCTTTGAGGAAGTTATGCAGGAAGAGAGGTTGTTAATAAGTGATGAGTGATATCCATGATGATTCACAACACTTATGATTTTTTCCTTTTACTTATACGTGCAAAATAAATTAGCAGCTTCATGTTTCACCTGTAATTACAATTTTTCATTTTATATACCGGTAACTGTTTATTTTTTATTTTTATGCTATGTTTTATATTATTTAAATCCAAAAAAGCCTAACTGAACTAAAGGACAACAAATAAAAGAATGTACAGTATTACTTATATCTTTTGAAAGGTTACAGTTTGGGGAATTTTTATAGTATTTGCTACTTTATAGCATTTTTATTTAATAATTTATATGTAAGCTTTCTTACCTTTTTCAAGAAAATTACAAATTTCCAGTTCTAAACCATTTAAATAATGTTTTTGATACTTCAGGTTCATCTAAACCTATCAATTCTTACTCAAAATGTAACGTTAAATGCAATGGTAGCGATCAAATAAAAAAATGCATTTAAAAATAACCTAAATTTGGAGTTTTTTGTAGAGAAACAGTTTTTTTAAATAGGCTAATAGAGAAATAATTTTTCTTTAAGTGAGTTTGTGGTTTAGAGTTTTTTAAATTGTGCATTTGAGTCACATTTAGGTTAGCGTACAACCAAATATAAGTTTTTACACTAGGTCAAGACCATCATCTTGGATGATTTTATACTTTCTGAGATGCATGTTTTTTGAACATGTGTGTAAATTCATAGTAATCTAAATTTATATAAAAGCTGTCTATGGTGTAACGTAAGAAGCTATGTTAGCGAATTTCCCTATAGGGAAGTAGCTATTACCGTAGGTGGCACGGTAAGACCTAGGCCCGGGACCGATATACATTTTTATTTTAAAGTCCCCCAGAGGCCAAAAACACCATTGGTTCAAATTTTTATATATGTGAACGTAAAAACTCTAGTAATTTTTGTCAGATTTTGATGAAATTTGGTTTAAAGGTATAAGGCGGGATAATCTTGAATGAGTTCGCAAACTAGCATGATCGGGCTATGGGAACGGGGTTTTGCGGGGTACTTTATGGGGTAAAAATTGGTTTTATAATTTTTGTACCTCAAAATACAAGATTTCCTAATTTCTCTATAGACCTTTTTAAAAAAAACAAATAATTTAGTACCTATATCAAAGTGTTTTTGTACAATTATTGGTACGGTAGTGGAGAAAATTAAAAAAATTGTAAATTTAAAATTCATGTTATTCTTATGGAGAATATTGTAAAATGTTGTGGTTTACTTGATTATGGATATGTTTTGAACAAACTTTGCAAATTTATTTATTTTATACTAAGCTATTATACGAAAAACACCCGTACGGCGGACTAGGCCGTTAAGGTGGTTTCTTCCCTTAGCCGGTTAATGGATAATGTCGGAGGTCTGCGGTCCAGCCGCAGAAGGCTGTTGATGTCTCCGTACTCCTGTACGGTGCGAAAGTGTGGGCAGATGCTCTCAATAAGGAGGCATATAGGATGCGGCTCGCCCGAGTGCAGTGTCAGGCAGCACTAAGGGTAGCATCTGCCTACCGAACAGTGTCCGAACCCGCCGTCCTGGTAGCTGCTGGAGTCATCCCCGTCAAAATGTTGGCGGAGAGGAAAGCAATTGATCAGCGCCGTGGGAAGGACCAGCAAAGAACAGAGGAACGCACTCGCACCTACTAGCTGTGGCAGGAGAGCTGGGAACAGGAGACACGGGGACGCTGGACCAGGCGACTGATACAGAAAGTCCAATTTTGGGTTAATCGGCGGTGCGGGGAGGTGAACTTCTACCTCACCCAATTTTTGACGTGTCACGGCTTTTTCCGGTCGTACTTGTTCATGATGGGCGAAGCCGTTTCACTCGATTGCATATACTTCCCAGGCATTCCCGATGAAGTGGAACAAACTTTTTTCCACTGCCAGTTTTGGGAAAGGCCCCGCCTGGAGGCTCAACAGTTAGTAGGACTGCTGTCGGTGGACACGGTCATACCGATGATGACGGAGGGTGAGGACAATTGTACCTGTGTGTCACATTACATCCAGGGTGTTCTCCGCGCCAAGAAGCTCGAACTTGACCGGGATGCGGTGTAGGTCATAAAATAAAAAAATAATACCGCAAACGGTGCGAGCCCTGTGGGCTTAGGTCACATGTTGGCCTGACTTTGAAGTAATGTGACAAACCATTCCAGATCTGTGTCCAACAGAGCAGAGGGGTTTTTTTAGTGAGTAGTCTGATAAATTCAGGAGTCACACTCTACAGGCTGGCTACCTATGTGCGTAAAAGCATTTTCCCTCCCCTCTCTAAAAAAAAAATAAAAAAATACGAAAAACCACTTTATTAGTTTCGTTGTAGTAGCAAACCTAGGTACTCGTTAAACCTAATGTTATTTTAATAGATTTAATTGAAAACCAATTCAGACAAATAGGAATTTGCTTCGTCGGCAGGTTTGCTGCGGTGGGGGTATTTTTTAACATTGTATCATGAAATAAATAAGTTCTGCAATTTTTCTTAAACTATTTTGCTACCCAAACTATTTCCATCAAGTATTTTTTCCTTTTACTATACGTTTTTTTAAACAAATATAGATAGTTTTCTCGGCTACATGTTATTCAAGATATAACAATGATGAAATAATTATTGATAGGTATGTTTCAAGATCAAATTTTGCTGTTCTTAGATAAGAACCAATTATGAACTGCAGTGGCATAGTCCTATACTGTCTTAAACACACATAGGCCTATTGGAGTTAGCTTCTTTTGGAATTGCTTTATTGCAACAGATAATAAATTTAACCATGGTACCATTGGGTTTTTGCCGTGTGTTACAATGAATTGTATTCCGTACATATTTCTAAATCCTCTCTAATAGTTAGGTCGTGGCATTGAATGTGTGGCATGATTGTTCTGCTGACAAGAGGTGTCAGCATTTCTCGCGATGTGAATAGCCACTAGAAGTAGGAAATTAGGACTTGCAGCCCTATACCAATCATGACAATGGCATAGAGTTATCTTTCCCTCCCCGTAGACTGAGTCATGTCAAGTTCCAGTATAATTTTACTTTCATAAACAGCAAATCTTTCGTTGTATGATGTCTTCTTTTATACATTTTAGTATTGTATCTTTGTTTCTTTGTATGAAAGGCAAATTAGACGTATTAGAACCATAAAACCTTAACAACCTAGAGCACCTAAAAAGCCTAAACAACCTAAAAACTTTCTGGAATGGAAATTCCAAATTTATTTTCTTAACCTCAATCTGCAATTGGGAAGGGAGGGGGAGGATTGATCACGATTTCTAAGTAGTATTAATATAATTTCATTTTAAAGCCTTCCCATGTTTTAGTCAAAAGAGACATTGTTGACTTTATGATTAAAACTTCAATAACTTATCAGTAAAGTGATAGGTACTTCATGATTGCTTATCATCTGGTTTTGTTGATAGCATTGTAAATGCGCTGTAACTGGGCTAGTTGGCAGGTAGAAAAAAAGATGTTTTGGATGGAAAAAGGTCTGAAGTTAATGAAACTTAGGGGAAAAAAAGGATGGGGAAAACTTCAAAATTGTCGACACTTTTTTACTTTTCTCTCAATAACTTTTCCCCCTTACTTCCTACCGAAAAAGCATACCCTACACTTTTGTAGAGCTTTAAATTTCCTACAATTCTACAGTTGAACTGTACGATAATGTTTGTACGATAATTTGTTACAGAGCAATAGTATTTTTATTTTAATGTATTTTTTTATCCACCAAATATGCAAAAAAAAGCAGAATTCTAACTTATTTTTTCTGTTACACACAAATTATCATGAAATTTTGTAGTTATTATGGTTCCAAGTTATAAGCACCATCTCTGGATACAACCTCCCCCCACTCACTCCACCCCAACACCCACCCTTTCCAAACCTAACCCCAATTCTCAAAACCTAATTTTCTTCTCCGATGAAAACCTTTCAGACCTTTCACAGAATCAGAGCTGAGTTGTTCACAACTAC